TCTCTGTCGTAGGTGACTCAATGTCTTCTTAACTCCGAGATGTCCTCCTGTTAAACTATCATGGGATTGATGCAGCACAACTTCCCGTAACTTTCTCGGTATAACCGTTTGCTAGGTCGCCACTTTCCCATCTCCGGAGAAGAATACCACCTTCAAGCTTCAACTGATCCCATTGTACCCAATAGTTCTTTGTCACAGGGCTTAAGCTAGACACCTTCTCCCAAGCAGGGTGCAAAACACTTGCTTTTAGAAAATCAATTATTGGCTTCAAATCTTGGTCTTTCTTTTGCTCTGATTTAATATCTATAGCTGGTTCCATTTCACCATCATCAACTCCTTCAGTCACTTTGACTTTAGCTTGATGACACCTGGTTACTTCAACCTCTCTTTTGCAGCAATGTCTGCAGTCATTTTTGCAGGGTCTTTGGCTCAGTCCATCAGCATTTTCATGATATTTTCCTTCTCTGTATACAATATTATAATTATACTGGTCTATCTTTCCAATCCAACGTGCCAATTGTCTCTCTGGGTTGTTTATTGATCTTAACCAGTGTAATGCAGCATGGTCTGTCCTGATGGTAAACCTAGCCCCATAGAGGTAAGGATGGAAATATGTCAGACTCTTTACTATAGCAAGAAGTTCCCTCTGTGTTACACAGTAGTTCCTCTCTGGTCGACTTAGGACCCTACTGAAGTAGGCCACCATATGTTCGTTTTCGCCAACTTTCTGAGACAACACTCCTCCAATTCCGACATTACTAGCATCACAATCCAGTATGTATGGCAGTGAGTGATTTGGAAGCTTTAAAAGTGGAAATGAGGCCAATTTTTCTTTCAATGTCTTGAAAGCATGCTGGGAAGAAACTGTCCATTCGAACAGTGCATTAAATACATTAAAGGATGATTTACTGTCTTTTATGCAAGTAGGATATATTAGCCATGGACCTAATCAGCCTCAGACAATGAGAAGCCCCTTCTAGTCCCCGCAGCTAAACCCTAATGCAGACATCGTCAGTCTTGTCAGAAGTCACATTCCAGACATGAGTGTCAGCAATAGGGGTGATCTAGTACGAGGGAAACCACAGGAATTCGATGGGAAGGCACCGTGGGAAGCATATAGAGCTCAATTTGAGCTCCTGGCAGAAATGAATGGATGGACAGAGAAGCAGAAAGCACTATATCTGGCAACGAGCCTGAAGGGACAACTACTGGAAATACTTGGACAGTTGTCAGCAGACGACAGGCACAACTATAGAGCACTGGTAGTGGCTCTAGAACTCAGGTATGGAACCAGAAATCAGTCCAAAGTCTACAGGGCTAGGTTTAGGACTACGAGAGCTGGAAAAGGATTTTAAAAGTAGTGCACACAAAGCCTACCCAACTGCGCCACCCGATCTCCTCAAGTTGTTGCTTAGGGATCAGTTTGTAGATGCCTTGGACAGTCCACAACTGAAGATACAAGTAAAGCAAGCACACCCCTCTATTATGCAGGATGTATTGGCCAGAGCTCTTGAATTCGAATCCTATGTTAAGTCCAGCATAGAGGTACCAAGGTTGGTACAGTCATCAGGATTCAAGGCCAGAAAAGGTCAGCTTTCAGAGAAGTTTGAGGGACTTTGCTGGCACTGTAACAAACCTGAGCACAAAAAAGCTCAATGCTGGAAATTTAAACACAGGGAAGATGCCACGGCAGGAAAGGCTGCTACCCAGAAAGGTTGTTGGAACTGTGGAGAGCAAGGACATTTGAAGAGCCAGTGTAAGAAGAATACTACCAATAAGTCAGCTTCGAGAACCAGTAGTGATTGGTGTTGAGGGACGCCCACCAACCTCCATTGTGAAAGTCCCAACAGCTAAGTGTAAAATGGCAAGCACACATAGTGTCTACGTGACAGGAAAGCTGGATGGCCAAAGGTGCAAGTTTGTCATAGATTCTGCATCTCTGCAAACCATTGTGAGCATCAAGGTGTTAGATCACGAAGGAGTACCAGAAGCCATACAGAAGCTTTATGGTGTGACAGGACATTATGCAAGGTTGTGGGGACCAATGTGGGTAACTATTGATCTCATGGGCATGAAGGACAGACAGAAAGTATACTTGGCTGACATTGAAGACCAATGCATATTAGGATTGGACTATTGGACATTGAAAGAAAAATTGGCCTTAGCTCCACTTTTAAAACTTCCAAATCCCTCACTGCCATACATACTGGATTTTGATGCTAGTAATGTCGGAATTGGTGGAGTGTTGTCTCAGAAAGTGGGTGAAAATGAACATGTGGTGGCCTACTTCAGTAGGGTTTTGAGTAAACCAGAGAGGATCTACTGTGTAACACGGAGGGAACTCCTTGCTATAATAAAGAGTCTGACATATTTCCATCCTTATCTCTATGGGGCTAGGTTTACCATCAGGACAGACCATGCTGCATTACATTGGTTAAGATCATTAAAGAACACAGAGGGACAACTGGCACGTTGGATTGGAAAGATAAACCAGTATAATTATAATATTGAATACAGAAAAGGAAAATATCATGGAAATGCTGATAGACTGAGCCGAAGACCCTGCAAAAATGACTGCAGACATTGCTGCAAAAGAGAGGTTGAAGTAACCAGGTGTCATGAAGCTGAACTGAAAGTGACTGAAGGAGTTGATGATGGTGAAATGGAACCAGATATAGATATTAAAGCAGAGCAGGAGAAAGATCAAGATATGTAGCCAATAATTGATTTTCTACAAGCAAGTGTTTTGCGCCCTGCTTGGGAGAAGGTGTCTAGCTTAAGCCCTGTGACAAAGAACTATTGGGCACAAGGGGACCAGTTGAAGCTTGAAGGTGGTATTCTTCTCCAGAGATGGGAACGTGACGACCTGGCAAACGGTTTTACCGAGAAAGTTACGGGAAGTTGTGCTGCGTCAATCCCAGGAGGACATCTCGGAGTTAAGAAGACATTGAGTCATTTACGACAGAGATTTTACTGGATAGGTATGAGGCTAGATGTGAAAGAATGGTGCAGGACATGCAGTACAGGTTGTGCTAAAAGGGGACCCAAGCATA